CCCGAGCCCAGTGCCAATCTTGCTGTATTGATAGCAACGTGTTCCACGCCTTTTGCAATCCTTTGCTGTGTGACCCTTGCCACTGCACTTGTAGCAGGTTACACTGGTGCTGGGACCGCTCTTGGTAGGGGCCATGGCATTACTGCAAGGTGGGTGCATGGCTGCGACCACCTCATGACTTTGGTTTCCAGCTGTCATCAGTAGGTGCGTCCTCACTGTCAAGTCTGCCATAGTCAATGTTTGGTGCCTGTTGAAGTCCGATGGAGATGTCATCAGGGAACCTGGTGACGAAAGCAAGTTTGGTGAGCCTTTCCAGCCCAACTCCCTTGAACCCGGCCAACTAACTGATCCTGTTCGCGTAGACGTCTACCTGCTCGCCAGCCCACCTGACCAGGCTCAGCTTCCTGTAGGCTGTAAATGCATCATCGGAAAATGCCTCCTTCAACCGGGCCTCTATCTTATTGACATCCCTTTGGTCATCTTCATCCATCTCCATGTAGATGGCTAGTGCGTCGCCTTCCAGATACAATGGCAGCAGACTTGCGACATCATCCACCAGTTAAAGTCTCGCCACCAGCCTCACCTTTTTCAACCATGCTACTATGTCTCCTTCACCAGTAAATGGCTTTATCATGTCTCTGCTTATGCACACCTTCGCCAGAGTAATGGTGCTGAAATAGCTTGTAGCAGAAAAGATGGAATTCAGTAGCACAGACACTAGGAACACCCTCGCAACAAATTCTGGTTTAGTATGCAACAACGTGAATTACGATGTATGCACAAAAGTCCTTCTCCTGACTCAACAAGAAATCACCTTTTTATACATTTTTGCTGAGCTAAAGAATTTGCATATTGGGCACGCTGCCAGTTTCGATCTGACTCACTGATGCATATGTCTCGTCATTCCAGCACCAATGCTTGGAGAGTCTGTATTGCTAACAATTTGCTCCCACACTCTAGCCCTCTTAGACCTACGAGGTAATTCTCCACAATTGCAAAGCAAAACAAGTCATTTGCAGAAGCATAATTTATTAAAGATTGCATGGTTGATGCTGTCAGTGTTGTGTTTCCAGAAGTTAAATCAAAAGTAGAAGCTATATCTCTGTCACAAAGAAGTATTGTTCATTGCCTAGATGCAATTGCGATGAATATTCAAGAACAGCTGTTAACAGCCAGTGATAGTATTCACTTGTTTTCTGTTGCTTTAGAGGAGAGTATTGACATTCAGGATACTGCTCAGGTACTTATTTACATCAGAAGAATTGATAAAAACTTTGAAATTACAGAGGGATTGTTATCTATGGAGTCTCTCAAAGATGCTGTTACTGGAAAAGATTTGTACAATAGTGTCATTAACAGTTTGATCAGGTTTAGATTAAGCCTGGATAAACTGGCAAGTATTACAATTGATGGTGCTCCTTCACTCATAGTCAAACATTGTGACCTTGATGAATGAAAAAAGATTTTCCATTGCACAGTGCATTGTCTTTTTACTTCATCATACATCAAGAAAGCCTCTGTAAATCTTCTTTAAAACTCAAACATATAAATTGATCCAGTGAAGCATGCAATGAATTCAATAAGAGCATGAGGACTGAAATACAGGCAATTCTGAAGTTTCTTGGAAGACATCGAGGCAGATTTCACTGATGTGTTGTACCACACAAATGTCCGCTGGTTAAGCATGGGAAAATACTAAAGAGGGTGTAGGACATTAAAGCAGAGATTGTAATGTTTTTAATATGAAAAATCTCTTGTGACTTTTCAAAGGAGAGTGATGAATGGGTTTGTGATTTTGCATTTGCTGTAGACATTATGCAAAAGCTGAACGAGTTAAACATAAAACTACAAGGCAAAGGTGTATTTACTCATGAATTGTATGTGGAAGTGAAGCCTTTCAAACAAAACTTAAACTTTTTGCCAAGCAGCTTAAAGAGCAAAACTTTGTTCATTTTCCTCTGTTGAAAACATGAACAGTTACACAAGCATTATCAGACAAGTACAGTTCTGATGGCTTTAAAAGAGTAAAATAAACCACAGGTCAAGTTTTATGCATCTCTGCACCCAGAAAAGTTTAAAAATCTGAAAAATTTTGCAAGAAAGATGTTTGTGTTGTTTGCATCAACATACATTTGTGTGCAGACTTTATCCACATTAAAAGTTAACAAGTCAAAGAACAGATCACGTCTCAGACTCGAATCTTCAGTCAGTGTTAAGGATCAGCACAAGCAACTTGATGCCTAATTTTAAGAAACTGGTAAATGACTGCAGTCAGATGCATCATTCTCATTGAGTCATTGAGATCTTTCTCTTGCTGAATTACTTTGTTTTTCAAATTTGTTTCAGGTGAATTACTTCTTCAAAATATCAATAAAAATTATTTTTCTTCTTTAAACTGAATTACTTTGTTTTCAAACAAATATGTTTCATGTGAAGTTTCTACTTTAAAATGTAAATTATTTTCTTTAATTTTAGTTACTTTATATGTGTCTTATTTGAAGTTTCTACTTTAAAATATTAATTAGTAAGAATTGTTTTTTATTTCTTTACGCAGAATTACTTTGTTTTTTAAATATGTTTTCTACCTTATAATATTAATTAATAAAAATATTTTTCTTAAAAAATGAGGTCTTTCAAATATGTTTCCTGTAAAGCTTCAACTTAAAAATACTTATTAATATTTTTTCTTTAAAGTACTTTAAACTGAGTTACTTTGTCTTTCAAATAAATGCATTTCATGTGAATCTTCTACAGTAAAATATTAATTAATAAAAATTAATTACATTTTTTTTGTTTAAAAGCCTTTTTTTTGTCTATTTTAAATATGAATTATTTTGGGTGGTCCAATAAAACTGTGAATTTTTGAATCCCTTGCACTGAAAGGTTTGCCCACCCCTGGTCTAGTCCCATCTAGATTTCATCTCATAGTCATTTGATTTTTTTCAACAGCCCACTTAAGGAATTTTAACTGTCATTTGAGATAATTTTCTTTTCTTTAGAAACCCCCCACCTTGAGTTTCTCTTATCTCTGAACACTTGGCTTCTTTCTTTTACATCTTGAGAAACATCAGTTTATGTTCAAATTTCACTTTCTATTGTTTTTTAGTTGGAAATGGCAACTCCCAATTTAAGTAGGAAAAAAAGACCCCAGAGTAATTCTTCTATGCTAGTAAAATCCAAAATTATCTGGCTAGGCTATCTTGGCTCTTTTTTTTCATCAACTTCTTAAATTAATTTCTGTTCCAACAAGCCACCAGGTATAGATTCACTTGTAAAATCCACATCAGCATCTGTGTTACATAAGTAATGTAAGAGAAAATTTCATAATGAGAAATAAAAGTAATTTCAAAGAATCTTATTTTGCATTTGTTGCCAAGTTATTTTATATGACTAAAGAATGAACAAATTCACTATATGACTGATTTGCTGTTAGTAACAAAGCAAAAAGGAAAGAAAATATTTTATTAAAGAAAGAAATCTGCACAACAGATCATAAAAACTCTGTTGGTAAGCTGCTGCTCCTGCTATTCTGATTAAGCTATTCATTAACTTTGTTTTATAAAACAAAGTTAATGAATAGCTAAACATAAGACACAAATGATAAACACAATGTAAATATTTTCAGCTTAACTTTAATGCTACCAAGCCTCATATGTAAGTGACAATAAGATTGTGTTTGATTCAGCAGAAGTCATTTTTTAATATATTTCTGTCCTTACAAAATGTGTAAATGTTATTGTCCAGAATGATGATGATATTTCATCATTCTAAAAATGACCTTGTCATTATTGATGATAGAAAAGAAGGATATTTCATCATCCTAACCCTCATCATTATAAAAATGACCCTCCCACCACAAGGGAGTCAGTAGAGTAGAGAATAGTAGAGTAGACGAGGGTACCTGTAGCAGTAGTCAGTGATGAGAGACAAATAGCAGTATAGAAACACTAGCCAGCACTCTGTAAAGATCATAAACAGACAATATCAAACACCATCCTCACAAACGAAAATCTCAGAACCAAACCAAGTAAGCACTGACTTTTAAACAAAAGAGACACTGAGAATATTTTTACATACAGCATAACAATATTCTGTAATTCACATCATGAAAATAAAATATAAATTCTTGTTATTTATGTCATCATGTATCTGAAGTCTTATTGTTTATGTTATATGTTCTAATTCATTTCAATTTCTGTCATTAAATACCAATGCCATTACATACTAATAAATATCATATAGGTAAATTTTAATAAATCAGATTTTGTTATTGATGTATCTGTAGTGTTCAGCAAATTTTGCTTTAGATTTTTTTTATTTGCATATCAAATCTATTTTATAAAATAGCAAGTATTTTGGAGACTTATGAGCAGGTTTTTGCTTTCTGCTGAATGTATTGTACTTGTTAGTAATCAGATCATATTTGAAAAAAAATAAAAATAAAAAATAACTGTAAAACTGCTGTAAAAAATTTATCATATTTTCTTTAACAATTTTTGCATGAATCTTAAACCAAGAGAACCATGCTCCTTTTTAGTTTGTTTTATTTTTTAAATGGAAAATGACTTTAAAGTTCAAAAACATTCCTGAATGCCTTAAATTGTTTAAGTTCATTTACTTTCCACTTAGCCTTTGGGAATTAACAGTATGTCTATTTTGACATCAAGTATATGTCTCATGTAATAGCAAGTCCCTGAATTAATTAACATAAAAAATAGATATTTTAATTGTATGAATATATCACATTACTAAATAAAGAGTAGTAATTCTATGTTGAGTTGTTATGGAAGGATTGGGCACCATTTTTGGGGGGTTGTTTTGATGGCATCAATTGGCCTTACTCAAGCTTTGTTTATGCAGTAAATAAATGAATAATTTGAGTTTGGGATTTTAAAAAAGTTTTGAAAGTTTTTCTCAATAAATCTGTATTTCATGCTAAATTTCTAATGAAAGAATAATTAAAAATTTTAAAATGACTGTTGAAATTTTTGTATACTCACTTCAAAAGACTGTCATCCTCTTTATTAATATCTGTATTCTCAATGTGAACAGTTGCTGGAAAAAGACTACAAATGAAAAGTTAAAATCACAAGTTGTCATGTGTAATATGTTTGCAAACATGACTTAAAGAATAGAATATTAGATTGCATGTTATACATCAAAATTTGTCAAGTGGCATGTGATACAATACAAAATGAAATTAGGACTTTAGACTTGACAGAAGGCAGTATCAACCATTACAGTAAAGTTATATTGCATAATAATTTTAATGTAATCTAGATGTTAATGTTCAGATCGAAGTGAGCATTAATATTAAATCAGAGAGTGTACAGTAGGACTAGACTGCTGTATGGTACCAAAGAAAATGGATTTGATTTTTATGTAGTCAAAATGTTTGTTACAAAACAAGGAAAATATCAAAAACTAATTTTATTATAAAAGTGTACAAAAATATCTTCCTTAATTATGTAGGTTTTTCTAAAAAACATTCAACTTTTTTTAGTGTTTATTAAAAATTGTTGATTAGTTCAGCTCATCTTAATTTGAGTTTATTTCTTCAATTTATGCATCACATCAAATGATACTATTTATAAAACCTGAAATGTTATTAATCCTGTATTGATGCAAAAACTTTAGTAAAGTAATTGGATATTTGAAAACATTTGGAGAATCTTTATGTTATTAAAAATACTATTGCCTTCTTTTTTCATATAAAATATAGTAAACATTATAATAAAAAAAAACTAGAGTAAGATTAAGAAAAGGCTATGCAAAAATTAATAATGAAAATCCTTTATCTTGGAGTTAAAGAAATTCATATGAGTCATTTGCTAACTTATCTAGTTTATCATTTTCATTGATTTTATTTTTCCTTTATCAAGTTAGTGTAGGTAGCATTTTTACAGCTTTAATACATCTACTGGAATATTCTAGTACAAAAAAGAAAAAATATACTTCACCTTCAAATATTTAATCAGAAATCACTTAAAATGAGTAATGAAAAGCTTCTAAACTTATATTAGTTTCTCATTAAATGTAGAATCCAACAAATAAAGGATTTCTTCCATAGCAGTTAAAGCCCTTCATCAGTATTTCAAATAAAATGTGTTTTATGCATTTTTAAGACAGAGATAAATGCACAAGAATTTGATAATTCAGAATTTGAAAATTGAATGCTATAGGAAATGTATACATCTGCTAAGTTGGAGGTTAAAAATATTTATTTCTATACCATTTTGATAGCTTATCATTGTCAGTGGTAAATGGAATGAAAGCAAAGGTATAAGCAAGAAATCATGTGTATAATTGTACTATTATATACACGTTACACTGAATTGGATGAACAAGGAAAATTGGGCTTAATATTATTATCATTTTATATTAATATAAGCAAGAGTTCATTTTTGTAATTGTACTATTATATGCACATTTCATTGAATGGGATGAACAAAGAAAACCAAGTTTAATATTAATATTGTTTTATTAACACAAGCAAGAATACTTGTGTGTAATTGTATTATTATATACATGTTTCATTGAATGGGATGAAAGAGGAAAACTTTATAAATTTTTATTCAGTTTTCCTAGTGTTCTCACAGTTTTTCTTTTATAAGGACCAAGAGTTTGTAGAAACTGTCTGTCCAATGGGTTTGTTGTTAGTACTTTTGTCTGTTTATCTTCTAAGCTGTGTTGTGCATAATAATTATAGTACTACATCTACATGAGAACAGAGTAAAATTCTTTTTCCAAATAGTCTGTTGTAAATTCAACTCACATTTGTTATGCTAGCTGAATTTAATTAAAGCCACTCTTGAGTAAATATGCACAAATATTAATTAAACCATTGTATGTCTGCTCAATAGCTACATTAGTGTTCTGTGTTGTAAATGACTTAAATTTTTTCCTTTGTCTACTTCTTTTTTACAAAATTAGCTACAAATGTCAAATTCTCATCATTTATACAACTTTTTTTTTTCCTGAAGACTATTTGTCCTATCATGCTTCTTTTGTGTTGACATTTTTCCAAAATATCAAAATTTCCTCAATGATAGTAATGGTTTTTGCTGCATCATTACTATTTGGGGGAAGTTTAATGGCAGCTATCACAAAATATTTTAAAACAATAGAGGAACTTTTTACTTCTGAACTGGTTTTTGCTTCTCAAATAGTTTCTGTTAGTTTTGAAAGTTTAAAAAATTGATTTTTTTTCAAGTTTGAAAAGTCTTTTTTACAATTTCCTATCTCACTATCATTTCCTTCAAAATAAAACAGTCATTCTGAACAAGTTTCAGTTATCAAGAGTATTGATAATACTTTTAAGTATATGGACATAATCAAAAAGTTTACTTAGCCAAGGTTTTTTTTCAGTAGGGTCAAATTTATTGATAAAAGCTTGATTTATATGATTATTGTCACAACAGCATGCCCATTTAAATCGTTGATTAAATTATCAATATATGTCATATTTTTTATATAAAAGTTCTGAATCATGTTTTGATCCACCATTTTTATCAAGATACCAAGAACTGTTTTTGCTAACTAGTGTGTCTCCTTTATCTTGAAAATTACTTTGATGTAAACTTCAACTAAAATAACTCATTTTTTGATTTTCCACAAGTATGAAGCAAAGGTTCACAGTGATAGATGTTTATCTGGTTGGGATGAAGCAGTTATAGTTTTTGGATCCTTAAAATCATGTAATGTTATTTTTCACTGTGTAATATTAAATCTATGTGATAAATGGAGAAATGTTGGATTAAATGCATTGATAAAGAAGGAGTTTATGTTGAAAAATAAGTATTTTCATGTAAAATAAAATATCCAAAAACTTTTTCTATACACAGGATTTTAAGCTTATTTTTGTGGAAAGTTTAATGGAAACAATCAAAAAAGTCATAATTTTGCTTTAAAGTAGGAAATTTTTGGTTCAATGTCCTTTCAATATGAAGATAAGATAAAGATTCTGTTTAGGTTAATATGATGAACACAATGTAAGGGTTCAATTTGGCATTATATTTACACTGTAAATAGAACCCTAGCTAAAAACTGAAAAATTTTGGAATTTTAAAAAACTCATATACTCTGGAGTTCAATTAGTAAATGTAGAAAATTTATTGACTAGAGCTCAAACTGCCCTTGAGTTAAGTGATGACAAAAAAGATATTTGGCAACTTATACAATCCTTTTTTCTTTTACAGGTGAATGGTAGACTGGCAAAAAGTATTTGACATAGTGTGGCATAGAAAAAAAACTGCACCCATAGACCAAAACAATGGATGTCAGCTTGGTCAAGCAGTGGGTAATGTATTTCAGCAGTGGCAGCAGGCAATGTGCATGACAGGACACATTTTGGATAACCCTGCACAAGCCTTTGTTCATTGATAACAAAAATGTGTAGCTAAGGATGGTGACTATGGAGAAAAATAGTATTTTGTAGTTGAAGACTTGCTCTATTCACCAGTGTGGAAATAGGATGCATTTTTTTAAGTGTCCCTCGTATTAATATGTTTTTTTTGTCATTGATTTATGTAGTGGGTAATATAAAATACCTCTCAAGTTTATTAAAAAGGATTTTTACAAAGTTTGATAGACTTATAGGTAAGTCTTTGTGTTCTTTGTAAAACCTCCTCATAGTCCTATATCAATTGTTTTGAATCTTGTGAAGTGAGTTTTGTTCTTTCTGTAGACACAATAGGATCTTTGTTTACCATTTTGTAACTATTTTGGATGATGTAGTTAGATTTTTATCTCTTTGTAGAAATCTGTGAACATATTTTTTCTTGGTAATAAGTGATGTCATTCTCTAAACTAATTACTCTGTTTGTCATGGCTTTCATGGACATTATGTGAAAAAAATACTCACCCACTTCTTTCCATATGGATTTTACACATAAGCAAGGCCAAAGACTGGTTGAAAAATTATGATAAAAAGCATGTGTTCAATAGTCTAACCAAATTTGGGAATAATACTATCTCAATTCATTTTTTATCTGTATGCAAGTGGTTTGTTCCCATTATAGGTTTTAGATTTATTCTAAATAAATCAAACATACCTAGCAGTTCCAACAGTTCTTTGTAACATACTTTATCAAATGGTTTTGCATAATCTATAAAACATAGGTATACACCCTTTAGCATTTGTATTTCTGAGCATAAATATCACATTCCTTGTTCTAGTGCCTTTCATCAAAACTGTACTGTTCTTGTCCTATTTCTGTTTTAATTTTGCTGCATGCTCTATTCATCAGAATTCGGATGATAAGTTTTGTTATGTGGTTCATTAAGTTAATTGCATCCATTAGCACCTGGCTTCTTAGGCAGTACTATGAAAATAGCTCTAGTTAGGTTTTCAGGTATATCACCATTGTCGTATATCCATTTATGTGTCTGTAATTTTGTCAGTACCAAAATTATCTAAAGCTGCCAGCATCTCTTACAATTCTGTCCAATTCTAATGCTTTGTTCTTGTTCAATTTGACCAGTGTTGATTTCACTTCAACTTGTCCTTTCATATTTCTGTGTATTGCAGATTATTCTCTTTCTTTACATGAAAGATGGGTCACTGATAATAGAGAAAGAAAAATTACTTCAAAGATGGAATGAATATATCAAAGAACTCTTCCATGAGTTCTTTGATGTATTCATTCCATCTTTGAAGTAATTTTTCTTTCTCTATTATCAGTGACCCATCTTTCATGTAATAGATACATGTGTTGATGTAAGCAAATATTTTTTTAGTGAACTATACCACATGATTGATGCTAAAGCAAATTTATATTATTTCTGGAATGATGTTCTAGTTTCTTGATATTTGAGAAATGGACCTCAGTATTCTTTAGTTCCCAGCACCTTTTTAAATGAAAGCTTGCTACAAGCTTAAGACATTAAAACTTAAAAGTATATTATCCTATTAAGCATATGACTATTGCATTTTGTATTATATTTTTGCTAATTAAAATTATATTTATATTATTTTTACAAAAGTATTAGATGATGTCTTAATATATAACAATGGTAGAAGTACTTAGAGTGATACAATGGACTTCATAGAACAATAAAAAATAATAAAACAAGGTAAAACTGAAGTTTGAGAATTAATCATTAGAGATTGAGCTGGAGATTCAAACCTAGAACCCAGGGCTTACCAGTATACTTCATACTAATGAATATTACAATAGTAATTGTAGTATTTAGTATGAATGATCCCATATTATATGGCTGCATTTATGACATGGACCAATTGTTTCTTTCTACAAAAAACTGCTAAAGTTTGGGAAAGCCTATCATTATAAAGTATGCTAATAAAAAGAAATTTAATATGTTATTTAGGCTAAGTATTGTTTATCCTATATAGCTGTAACATAGAGAAAGAGTTTGGGGGGAAGGCTAATAAAAATTGATTGATTAGCAAAAACAGTTCATCTGTTAACTCTCAGTATAATTGGAGAATAACTAGAATATTCAGGATGATTAGCTAAATTTGATCACCTTTCATGTTTTTCATGCATATACATATGTAAAACATATATAAATAGGTTTTTCATACATATACAAAAACTCAGTGTCCATTTGAGGTTAACAGAATTACTGAAGAGGATTTCCACTGTGCTCTGCCAATGGAAAATTAAACTCTTGATTCATTTATACCATGTTTATACAATTCATTATTAAAATTTAGATATTGATCTTTGTTATTATATTCACTCACTTTCCCTCACCCTCCCTGTTTCATTATTCTCTTTTACTTTTTACTTGTTTTCTTTTCTTATTTGTTGATTGTGGATATAGGTGACAACTAGGGACAAGTAAAGTACAATGGGTTTTTGAAGATTTTGCTGATTTCATGCTTTTTTTTTTAATTCATCATCTGCTGGGTTAAAAATATAGTTCAATTGAAAAGAATTGTTAACAAATTTTATTCAAGTTTACATAGAGATATTAAGAAATCTGCAGCTTAATGATAAAAAAGCATTTATTTTATACAACAAATATCTATTTTTCAACATAATCTCTTTCTTTGTCAATTCTCTGATGAAGATTAATCATATAGAATATTGTACAATGAAAATGTTGGCTCATAATTCAGCTAATAAGTACATTTAGGGTTACAGACTTATTAATCCACTCTCATAAGTCAATTTAACAATTTTTTAAGGTATCATTATAATGAAACTTAAAATTTAAGTCAAACATAACAAGCATAGAATTGAAAGAAAGAAAACTTGTGTAAATAGGCCATAAACCAGTTTTCCTTCTCTAAAGAAAGTAATGTTAGTGTTATAGAGTAGGACTCAGTATATTTCCTGCTCTTCCACACCACTGTGACAATGGACAGTTTCTACTTATAAATATAGCAACTAACCACATTAGAGTAGGATTTGAGTAGTATTTGATTTACTCAAGTTATTCTGTTCCATGTGTTATAGACAAGCGTATGGTTGCAAGAAAGAAATACGACAACAACAGAAATAGATTTACGTGATTTATTTCAATAGGGTGGGTTTGGGACAACTACCTTGTGGTATAGTTCATAAGCCGGCTTCTGATCTGGATTGATCTCTCATAGTAGTTCTCACTGGTTGGCGTAGTGCTCCTCCTGCTGACAGCTGCTGACTGACCGTGACAGGTCTCTTCCTTGGCCTCCTGTTGACTGCAGTTGTACTTCACTGTGTGACCCCTTTTATGGTGTTTTTATGGCTTAACAGGCTCGAAAAACGATGCAAGCATAATTAGGAGGGAAGCATTTATATTGGTCAAAAAATAGAAATACTTTAAAATATTATTTTATTTTTCGACTGGAACTCGTGCATCGGGGCTATGTGTAAACGATGATAATGGTCATTTTGTGACGGGGTCTTGTCCCGTTCACATCCAGCTCTTGCTCTTAAGTATGTTAGTTTATTTGCCTGCAAATCAGCCGAGATATGTCTTATTTTATTTTATAACACATGTATGAATATTTAATAAATCTCTTTGTTTTCCTCTACCTAGTCTTCTGTTCCTTCGATACTCTCTATAACTACGGCCTTCCTAATTCTTGGCTTTTTTGAACAAAAACCACATGACAATAATTAGCTTAATAATTGAACTTCAGTCTGTTACTATATGTTCAAGACAAATGTCTAAATGCTTTATTTTGCCCTCATAATAAATTTTCCAATTATTTCCTATTATTACAAGAAAGATTGGTCTAAAGAAGTTCATATTTAGAAAAGATGCATTGTCTAAAAAAATGATGACACCTTTGTAAAATATATGAATTAAAATCACACTAAAAGAATAGCATTTAAATTTGAAGTCTTAGATATACTTTTACAAAATATGCCAAGTGTATTTGTATATTTGTTGCCGGTAACTTTATGTTGGCAGAGCAAGGGAGGTAACTTGAATCAACTTTCTTGTACTGGCAACGTCAGGTGGAAGCTACTTTGTTTTCGCAATGTTAGTATTCATTTTATTTTGTGTCAGACCTAAAAGCATAAGGTGTGTTGCATCATGAAAATACTTTATTATACAAGAAAACTTGACCTATAACAGTAAAAAAAATAATTGAATTAATCAGAGTTTCTGATAAGAATTCAAAGCAGTTTTTTTTTAGTCAAATTAAGAACCCATTTGTATAAATTGTGAAATATTTACCTAACAGAACTCCCAACAATTTTCTGCCCAATCCCAATGGACATTAAATTTTCCAGAATTTCTTCTACTTTGATTGGATCTCCACTGTCTATGAACAATGCCTATAAAAATGTAAAATAAAAGACATTAAGTAATGCAAACCAACTAATTTATGTTTAAGTGATTTTAATTGCTTTAGATGAGGTTTTCTAAATTATGTGATAAAATGTTTTCAATGCTTATAATTAAAATAATAATTACTTCATTAAAATTATATGCAGAAACCTAGAAGTATAACAAAATCTGAAAATTAGATAAAAAAATATTATTTTTGATTTCAAGTTCATGAGTATTAAACTTTTCCTTTTGAAGAATTGTTTTTTTTTTAGTTCAATTGCTTTTTAAATTTTATGAAATTTTTTCCATAAATATTCTGATTATATAACATTTTAAGTACAGAAATTATAATTACATTTAATTTTATTTTAAAAATCTATAATCTATTAGCAATCCATGCAACTTAACCGGGTCAGCAGGTTATAATATTTATAAGACACATATTAAACAATAAATCAACAAATAAAAAAGTTTATATTTCATGGGGGGGAGTATGATTATCTAAAAATTACAACCCTCAACATTTCTATTTATGAGCAATAGAAATTATCCTTAATGATTATTTGCCTAATTTACATGTGTAACAGTTTGTATTCAGTCTGTGTGGACAAACTGTGTTAAGTATTTATTCTGTGAAAATAAAGCCCATTTGCAGAGAATGATCATTTTATCTGTCTTTAAATTTGAGCGATTTAATATTTTCTCTGCATCAATGTGTGTGTGTGTGTGTGTGTGTGTGTGTGTGTGTATACATATGCACCTGTTTTGCACACTCAATTTAGTCTAACACATGATGGTAGTCCATCACAGGATGCACCTTTTCTTTATTCTGCTGCAGCATGGCCATCAGAGGAATTAACCCTTTGTGAGGCCCCAGCTTTCCTTCTGTTTATGGCACAATCCAACCATTATCTATCCATGTGGGGAGCTCCCGCTCATAGTCATCTCTGATCTCTGCAGCTACTGGGTATTCTGACACTCCATTTTTCAGTCCTTCCAGTGCACAGTCCTCTGACCACTTCCGTGCCGCAGTCTAACATTTTTGCCCCAGTCTCTCAACCTCTGATGTCTTACTCTCTGGGTTGAGGTGTCTACTCAGTCCTAATCGAACTTAAGGGAGTGGCTGTAGGTCCCCTGAGCATCTGTACATTGTTTGACCGGTCCACTGGTTTAATCCTGCTTCCTGCCCATGTTGTGTTTGGTTTGATCCAGAAAGCAGAAGTGATGTTCATCCATTCACGGTCGACTGAAGATGTAGACATGGCTAGAGAGTCTGCGCTAAGAAATTTAGAATGCAGCAAAAAAAATTAATATCTGCAGAAAGCCGGCCAAACAACTATTCAATGATTGAATTGTTAATGTCTTTTATATAGCAGAAAAGAATAGTATAGAAAAGAAACAGGTTACAGAAAAGAAAAGTAATTGATGTAAAAATGCATACCCTGAATTCTGGACACAAAGAGAGAGTGTGTGTTAACTTGTTGTTAAATCTTCTCAGAACAATATATGACTCTTGTGATGGGGGAATAAGATTTCTGTGTGTGACTTAAAGTTTATAGTGGCATTCCTCCTTAGCAGTAGTAACAGTAGTAGTAACATTTGTGGTAGCAGAAGCAGCGGCACTTATATCAACAGTACATGTTAGCGGACGTTTCGTTCCAATCTCTGACGTCAATTTCTCTCCTTCTTGAGTCTCCAACTCGACTCTCCACTGTCTCTAGCCCAACTCTTGCCTGGGCTAATTCTCTTCTGTCTCTCTTTCTTCCGTCTGCCTCTTCCGTCTCTCTCTTTCGTTTGCCTCTTCTGTCTCAACGCTCGCCCGTCTGTGTTTTTCAGCATAACTACGCATTTATATAGATAAACCAGGCTGGTTACAACTGACCCTTGGCCGTACTACTTCACATGTGATTATCACAGCTGCTTCAACCAAAATCATGTGAATTCCAAAGTTCCTTCTAGGTTACTCAGCTCTATTTCAATTTTTAATCAATGAAAATTATTTCAACTATTTCCATTGTCTCCTGATGACCCAGATTCAATGGGTACAACTTCTGCCCTAGATCAAATTTCCACATCAGTAAACAAAATGTTTTGACTTAATTTCACTATTCAAATCTACTCCAATTTCACTAAAAAAAAAAATATACGTGTGTGTGTGTTTCCCAAACTCTCTCTGTCACATTAGAAATCACTTTATGTGTTTATCTTTTTGACTATCTTAACAAAAATACTACAGCTGAACAAGGTCACAAAACAGATTATAAGTCTCAGGTTATTGGGAGAACTTTCACATAAGATTTTTTCTCATGTTTCTGCAGCGATTACAATATCAATATTATTGTTTTATTTTTCATTGAAAAGAATTTTGATACTTTGTCACACTCAGTTACATAAATTTACTTTGATCTTCATTCTTATATATCTGAATAGATATACAAATAGTTTCTGATTATAAGCGAGGACAACCTCCACCTAAAGTTTTATTTTACAGATTAGTTATGAATACATCACTGCAAACTGCATTTATCTATAAATAAAAATCAATATTTTAGTAAAATATTTTACAATAACTTATTTATCTTTTGCAATAACTTATTTAGGGGTGTGAGTGTTGTTTATCATATTGTAAATAAATATCTTGTAATGTAAAAAATGAAACAAGACCCTGCAAAATTATTGAGTGATGGGAATACAAAAGAAATTTGGAAAAAGTTGAACCGATCACAAAAAAATAAAAATTAAAACATTGACAAGTTTAAGAAAAACTGGTTTTAAGAAAAACCAGTTTTTCTTTAACTTGTCAATGTTTTAATAGTTGATATTCTTATATCATAAAAAGGGTAAAATGAAATGTGTGATTAACTAGAAAAGTGAATTCACCAATGAGAAAATATTTAAAGAATCTGGTGTTCCAAATGTAAACAGAGAAAAAAATGCAGAATATGAAGAACATTGATTAAATTCATGAAAGCAACCAAACAAATATCTTTAAATAACCATGTAAAAAGAAACAGGTAAATTGGGCAAAGAAGTGCATGAAAGCAGATTTCTCAACAGTAATATTTTGTGAGGAATGTATTTAAAATTTGAGATTTTGAAATTATGGTAAGCATGCAATACCATAACAATCATAACAATGAGTTTCTGGCAAGCATTGATATTGGATCCAATATAGAAATGTCAGCCAACATGAATTTGAAGATGACAGTGAAGTGGAATAATGTTTCGGTTACTTACTATTGTAGGTACTACATTTATAAATTATGTCAAAGTTGATGATGTAGCCAAGATAAATGCAGAAAATTACTTATTGGATAAGACTATTTTGAGTGACATAAGGTATAAGCAAAATTAAACAATCTATTTTCATATAAGACAATGCTTTTTCACATTTTGAAAACTGACTTTTACCTATCTTGTCAAAAAGCTTTCAAAGACATCAAAATTAATAGAATGGCCTACAGCCTCTTCAGATATTAATCCAAAAGAAAAATTGTGTCTCATCATTAAAAGAGATGAAAGTGGAAAACAATATTCAAAATTCCCTGGTGGGCAATAAAATAACATAGCAAGTAATGTTAAAGTCAAGACAAGAGAAAACAAAATCAGTGGTTTAAAGATTTATGATGATCATAGAATGTTGAAGAGCCTATACTTACTTGTAAAATAAGAAAATAATTTATTCATGTATATGGGATATTGGGTTAATGAAATATGTTTCTAGGGTCTATATTTTTGGGATTTATTTCTAAGTAAAAAATTTAAGATGCACTTAGTTTGCTTAGTATTTTGATGTCACCAAAATAAGTTATCAATATTTTTTTGAATCTCCCCACCACTTTTTTTAATTATTTTACCCCAATGTGGCAGACATGAGACAGAACCTGGGACGAGCACAACTGGTTGCGACTTGCCTTGTCCCCGCCAAAAAACAGCCCGTATTTGCTTAGCATGTAAAGCTACTGCAGTTGAAATGAGGGAGAAAAAAGCACTTACCGCTCTGCCGTAATCTGTCCTCGGCCAGATAACGTAAAAGAATGAGGGGGGACTTGCATTGCATTTTTATGCAATAAAGATGCAATGCATTATGGGACATGGACGCAATGAACTATGGGATCACATGAAGACGCAAGGGATTATGGGTATATGGACAAATATAAAAGCAACTACTTTTTTCCCAGGGGGGCAGTTCGTCGAGTGACGTTCACGGTTGGCGGCAAGAACAGTCTGTTAGTGTGATTTTGAGACAGAACTCAAGAAGGAACGACTCAAGGTTGAAATACCAGCTGGGAGAGCTTGAATTTACTCGCTGGCTGCTGTTTTTCTTTATTCGCCTCACCCAAGCAAGGCAATAAAGCCACTAAGGTGTGAGGGGAGTTACTGAGTCTGAGAGAATATGAGAAAAAGAAAACATTAAGGAAAGTGGACAATAAAAAAACAAGAATTAAGAACACAGAAGATAACAATTGACATTGCATTTAAATTTTTGAAAATCAAAGTCAACTGGAAAGCCCTAAGAGAGTTCTACAAGAAGTGTGAGAGAAGAAACTGCTAGCATAGTTCTTATGATTACATCTAGTCTTTTCAACTGTAAAAAGATGAGGCCTTGTTGCCAATCTAGTACTGTGTTTAAATTCAGAAAGTCTAGGTACCAAAGAGGAAAGCTCATCAGAAGAATTAACATGAGAATATTTATGGAAAAGGCACAGGAAAGCTATGTTATGGTGGTGGGAAAGTGGCTGAAGCTGAGATGTCAGGTCAGGACCAATAACACTGCAGATTCTTCTTTGTATTTTATCTAGAATCTCTAAATACATGGCAGAAGCACCAGCCCATATCTGGCAGAAATATTCTGGACAAATAGTAGACTTGTAAATATGTCAGATAGATTTTGGTCAGAAAAACTGTCTACCATGACACAGTGAACCAACTTTCTGAGCAGCAGACCTAATAATTGCTTCAATATAATCTTTCCACTTCATGTCAGCTGAAAACGTTAATCTGA